TTATTTAAGGAGATAAATCGATTTAAAGGTTTGGGAAACCCAGCGGCCGACAAATAATGATTTATGAAATATTTTATCCTGGGAAATTTGGGTATGAAAATTTCGAGCATCTGAACACCCCCCAAATCGCGATTAGAGCGTTATTTAAGGAGATAAATCGATTTAAAGGTTTGGGAAACCCAGCGGCCGACAAATAATGATTTATGAAATATTTTATGCTGGGAAATTAGGGTATGAAAATTTTGAGCATCTGAACACCCCCCAAATCGCGATTAGAGCGTTATTTAAGGAGATAAATCGATTTAAAGGTTTGAGCAACCCAGCGGCCGACAAATAATGATTTATGAAATATTTAATACTGGGAAATTTTGATATGAAAATTTCGAGCATCTGAACACCCCCCGAATCGCGATTAGAGCGTTATTTAAGGAGATAAATCGATTTAAAGGTTTGAGCAACCTAGCGGCCGACAAATAATGATTTAAGAAATATTATATCCTGGGAAATTTGGGTATGAAAATTTCGAGCATCTGAACACCCCCCAAATCGCGATTGGAGCGTTATTTAAGGAGATAAATCGATTTAAAGGTTTGGGAAACCTAGCGGCCGACAAATAATGATTTATGAAATATTTTATCCTCGGAAATTTGGGTATACAAATTTCGAGCATCTGAACACCCCCCAAATCGCGATTAGAGCGTTATTTAAGGAGATAAATCGATTTAAAGGTTTTGGAAACCCAGCTGCCAACAAATAATGATTTATGAAATATTATATCCTGGGAAATTTGGGTATGAAAATTTCGAGCATCTGAACACCCCCCAAATCGCGATTAGAGCGTTATTTAAGGAGATAAATCGATTTAAAGGTTTGGGAAACCCAGCTGCCAACAAATAATGATTTGTGAAATATTTTATGCTGGGATATTAGGGTATGAAAATTTCGAGCATCTGAACACCCCCCGAATCGCGATTAGAGCGTTATTTAAGGAGATAAATCGATTTAAAGGTTTGAGCAACCCAGTGGCCGACAAATAATGATTAAAGAAATATTATATCCTGGGAAATTTGGGTATGAAAATTTCGAGCATCTGAACACCCCCCAAATCGCGATTAGAGCGTTATTTAAGGAGATAAATCGATTTAAAGGTTTGGGAAACCCAGCGGCCGACAAATAATGATTTGTGAAATATTTTATGCTGGGATATTAGGGTATGAAAATTTCGAGCATCTGAACACCCCCCGAATCGCGATTAGAGCGTTATTTAAGGAGATAAATCGATTTAAAGGTTTGAGCAACCCAGCGGCCGACAAATAATGATTAAAGAAATATTATATCCTGGGAAATTTGGGTATGAAAATTTCGAGCATCTGAACACCCCCCAAATCGCGATTAGAGCGTTATTTAAGGAGATAAATCGATTTAAAGGTTTGGGAAACCCAGCGGCCGACAAATAATGATTTATGAAATATTTTATACTGGGAAATTTTGATATGAAAATTTCGAGCATCTGAACACCCCCCAAATCGCGATTAGAGCGTTATTTAAGGAGATAAATCGATTTAAAGGTTTGGGAAACCCAGCGGCCGACAAATAATGATTTGTGAAATATTTTATACTGAGAAATTTGAGTATGAAAATTTCGAGCATCTGAACACCCCCCAAATCGCGATTGGAGCGTTATTTAAGGAGATAAATCGATTTAAAGGTTTGGGAAACCTAGCGGCCGACAAATAATGATTTATGAAATATTTTATCCTGGGAAATTTGGGTATGAAAATTTCGAGCATCTGAACACCCCCCAAATCGCGATTAGAGCGTTATTTAAGGAGATAAATCGATTTAAAGGTTTCGGAAACCCAGCGACCGACAAATAATGATTTATGAAATATTTTATCCTCGGAAATTTGGGTATAAAAATTTCGAGCATCTGAACACCCCCCAAATCGCGATTAGAGCGTTATTTAAGGAGATAAATCGATTTAAAGGTTTTGGAAACCCAGCTGCCAACAAATAATGATTTATGAAATATTTTATCCTGGGAAATTTGGGTATGAAAATTTCGAGCATCTGAACACCCCCCAAATCGCGATTAGAGCGTTATTTAAGGAGATAAATCGATTTAAAGGTTTGGGAAACCCAGCGGCCGACAAATAATGATTTATGAAATATTTAATACTGGGAAATTTTGATATGAAAATTTCGAGCATCTGAACACCCCCCGAATCGCGATTAGAGCGTTATTTAAGGAGATAAATCGATTTAAAGGTTTGAGCAACCCAGCTGCCAACAAATAATGATTTAAGAAATATTATATCCTGGGAAATTTGGGTATGAAAATTTCGAGCATCTGAACACCCCCCAAATCGCGATTAGAGCGTTATTTAAGGAGATAAATCGATTTAAAGGTTTTGGAAACCCAGCTGCCAACAAATAATGATTTATGAAATATTTTATCCTGGGAAATTTGGGTATGAAAATTTCGAGCATCTGAACACCCCCCAAATCGCGATTAGAGCGTTATTTAAGGAGATAAATCGATTTAAAGGTTTGGGAAACCCAGCGGCCGACAAATAATGATTTATGAAATATTTAATACTGGGAAATTTTGATATGAAAATTTCGAGCATCTGAACACCCCCCGAATCGCGATTAGAGCGTTATTTAAGGAGATAAATCGATTTAAAGGTTTGAGCAACCCAGCTGCCAACAAATAATGATTTAAGAAATATTATATCCTGGGAAATTTGGGTATGAAAATTTCGAGCATCTGAACACCCCCCAAATCGCGATTAGAGCGTTATTTAAGGAGATAAATCGATTTAAAGGTTTTGGAAACCCAGCTGCCAACAAATAATGATTTATGAAATATTTTATCCTGGGAAATTTGGGTATGAAAATTTCGAGCATCTGAACACCCCCCAAATCGCGATTAGAGCGTTATTTAAGGAGATAAATCGATTTAAAGGTTTGGGAAACCCAGCGGCCGACAAATAATGATTTATGAAATATTTTATCCTCGGAAATTTGGGTATACAAATTTCGAGCATCTGAACACCCCCCAAATCGCGATTGGAGCGTTATTTAAGGAGATAAATCGATTTAAAGGTTTGGGAAACCTAGCGGCCGACAAATAATGATTTATGAAATATTTTATCCTCGGAAATTTGGGTATAAAAATTTCGAGCATCTGAACACCCCCCAAATCGCGATTAGAGCGTTATTTAAGGAGATAAATCGATTTAAAGGTTTCGGAAACCCAGCGACCGACAAATAATGATTTATGAAATATTTTATCCTCGGAAATTTGGGTATAAAAATTTCGAGCATCTGAACACCCCCCAAATCGCGATTAGAGCGTTATTTAAGGAGATAAATCGATTTAAAGGTTTTGGAAACCCAGCTGCCAACAAATAATGATTTAAGAAATATTTTATCCTGGGAAATTAGGGTATGAAAATTTCGAGCATCTGAACACCCCCCAAATCGCGATTAGAGCGTTATTTAAGGAGATAAATCGATTTAAAGGTTTCGGAAACCCAGCGACCGACAAATAATGATTTATGAAATATTTTATCCTCGGAAATTTGGGTATAAAAATTTCGAGCATCTGAACACCCCCCAAATCGCGATTAGAGCGTTATTTAAGGAGATAAATCGATTTAAAGGTTTTGGAAACCCAGCTGCCAACAAATAATGATTTATGAAATATTTTATCCTGGGAAATTTGGGTATGAAAATTTCGAGCATCTGAACACCCCCCAAATCGCGATTGGAGCGTTATTTAAGGAGATAAATCGATTTAAAGGTTTGGGAAACCTAGCGGCCGACAAATAATGATTTAAGAAATATTTTATCCTGGGAAATTAGGGTATGAAAATTTCGAGCATCTGAACACCCCCCAAATCGCGATTAGAGCGTTATTTAAGGAGATAAATCGATTTAAAGGTTTCGGAAACCCAGCGACCGACAAATAATGATTTATGAAATATTTTATCCTCGGAAATTTGGGTATAAAAATTTCGAGCATCTGAACACCCCCCAAATCGCGATTAGAGCGTTATTTAAGGAGATAAATCGATTTAAAGGTTTGAGCAACCCAGCGGCCGACAAATAATGATTTATGAAATATTTAATACTGGGAAATTTTGATATGAAAATTTCGAGCATCTGAACACCCCCCGAATCGCGATTAGAGCGTTATTTAAGGAGATAAATCGATTTAAAGGTTTGAGCAACCCAGCGGCCGACAAATAATGATTTAAGAAATATTATATCCTGGGAAATTTGGGTATGAAAATTTCGAGCATCTGAACACCCCCCAAATCGCGATTTGAGCGTTATTTAAGGAGATAAATCGATTTAAAGGTTTGGGAAACCTAGCGGCCGACAAATAATGATTTATGAAATATTTTATCCTGGGAAATTTGGGTATGAAAATTTCGAGCATCTGAACACCCCCCAAATCGCGATTAGAGCGTTATTTAAGGAGATAAATCGATTTAAAGGTTTCGGAAACCCAGCGACCGACAAATAATGATTTATGAAATATTTTATCCTCGGAAATTTGGGTATAAAAATTTCGAGCATCTGAACACCCCCCAAATCGCGATTAGAGCGTTATTTAAGGAGATAAATCGATTTAAAGGTTTGAGCAACCCAGCGCCCAACAAATAATGATTTATGAAATATTTTATCCTGGGATATTTGGGTATGAAAATTTCGAGCATCTGAACACCCCCCAAATCGCGATTAGAGCGTTATTTAAGGAGATAAATCGATTTAAAATATTTTATACTGGGAATTGAATGTTTCGATCATCTGAAAACCTCTCAAATTGTTATTGTGATCCTCCTAGTAACTTGAAGTAAGGGGGAAATCTCAAAATTTTCTCTGTCCAAGAACAGCTAGAGGATGACCAAGATGATTTGATATACTCAACTCTATCGAATATGGACTTCTTTTCCTTCTACCATGTGGAATTCTACTCCTTTTGATAATTTCGTTAAAATATCACTTGATTTATGTATCGTTCGGTTTCTCAATTCTCATTGGTTAATACTCTCATTTTTTCTATCTAAGCTTACAACTAGATGATTATTATTAGTACTGAATTTGTTATCCTACTAACTAAAGCACATTTCGATTCGATTACAGATTGAGTTTATGAATCTTCATAGAACAAGATCTTTCTCAAAGAGTGCACACATGCACATCTTCCTCAGGTATAGGTTCGGCTCCTCATGGGTACACTTAGGATCCGCTGGCCACCCACGTAGCCCGGCGGTTCGTGGATGGTGGGTGGGGGCGTTGAAGAAGGTGTTCTCTCCAGAGGTGCTGCTGCCGGAGGGCTCGTGGCCAGGGGCGAAGGGGAATCAAATAGATTGCGCAGATTGTTCTCCAACTGCACGTAGGATCGATTCCGTCGTGGGAGGTTTTGGATGGTCAGATAGTTGGGACTGGCCGTGGGCGAATGGTTCCTACTGAGTCGCATCGATCCAGTTTCGTCTTCCAGATTGAATTGACTGATGCTGTGCATCAGTGTGCGATACTTGTTCTGCCAGCGCTGCTCCAGCAGCGTCTTCGAGGAGATGTTATCGAGATTATCTGCGATCAATCAAATTTAGAGTGCGAATTATTACTACTGAACCCGGAGTCTAGGGTGTGAGAAGAAGCGCTCATGTTTTTTTTTTTTAGCTTTCCCATCTACCAGTTGAACTTACTTCGTACAATTGAAATATGAGTAAAATGAGATTCTTGAGGCTTGCAACGCACGGTAGACTGATTGGATTTGGTTATCCGGAATGGAAGGGGGATGTTGTGCTTACAAACTACAACGGGATGAGGAGAAAGGAGGGTGAAGGGATCAAAGCAACCTTCTCCGGTCAATGCATGAGGGGACGACGACGACACTAGCACATTTAGACATCTAAGCAGGCGTTTGAATTGAGTCCTCAGCTGGAACAGTACGAATGAAGAAATATAATAAAAGCAATAACAACCATCACTGTCAGCAAGCAGGCCATGCGATCCGTGTTGCAACCTACTACTCACCATTACTTCTATAATCATCTTGAATCTTGTAGAACTCGGCCAATTCACGTGCGGAACAAAGCGGAGTATCAACCTGCTGCGTCTCGTCAAACTTGCTGTAGTTGATCTCATAGCCCTGGTTATCCTTGTTGTAGAATACGACCGGCTCAAAGCGATGTCCCCACAAGATCTCCGAGTTGACGTAGCTTGATCTTGCTTGGGTGGACTGTCCGGTCGATTCCACCGTACCTTCCAGAACCACCACAATCTCGAATCGATCTTGCAGCAAATCCGATGCGCACATGTTAAACATCGGTGAGTCCTCGTTGATTCTATGGACAACGATCTGCGGCCAAATGAAGAACAAATCCGATCCACACCCATCCGCCCCAACGTCCAGCTCCGTTTGATACTGACTCAATATTTCACCTTCCTTGGTCGTCCTGGTCCGGATCAGTTGCGCCCTGATGCTGGCCCCAATTATGTGACTCTTACGCATATCTCCGACACGGAACATCAAGCACAGCTCTCCGTCCCGCTGGCAGATGACTGAATTCTTCGAAAATAGCAGCGTCTGGGTGCGGTGTTTCGGCCGAGTCATCTTCGCAAAAACAATTCCCACCATGAAGGCCTGAATCATCACTCCGTAGATCGATTGGAAGCACATGATGAAGATCGCCTCCGGACATTCCTCCGTGGTCGTGCGGACACCATAACCGATCGTATGTTGCGTTTCGATTGAAAACAGGAAGCACGAGGTAAACGACACAATGTTGTACACACAAGGGGTCCATCCGATTTCAGCTGAAAGAATAAAAATCAAAGCAACACTGATTAGAACACAATCGAGGAAAACCATCGCAGTGCAGCCTACCTTGATGGTCGGGCAGATGCATCTCCTCAAGATCCCCATGGGTGAAGGCAATCAGCCACCAAATCACAGCGAAGAACAACCACGATCCGATGAAACTGAAGGCAAACACGAGCAACGTCCAGCGCCACTGAGCATCCACCAACGTGGTGAAGATGTCCTGCAGGAACCGCAAATGCTGCTGCGATACCTTGGACGTCGATATGTTGCACTCGCCACTCTTCAGGATGGCCCGTTTGCGGTACTTCCGGGTGGTGCCAGGCCGGAACGCTCGGCTTCTGTGAATATAGAGAGAACAAAATCAGTTCCATTATGTCGATTAGCTGCAGGGTGAAATTACGATTCATTTCTGCGAAGTGATCCCACCGCCATATGATGCCCCAAAAACGAACGACTATAGCGAAAATTCAGCTCCCAACTGGTGTGTCGTTGTCAAATGTAGAACCCATTGCCATTCAGTGGAAGAGTTTGGTAATCGAATCCGTGCCTTCCATTGATAAGATAAGCGGTTTTCAATGGGTTGGAACGAAAAACAACGACGACAACGCGGTAAACAGACACGGCAAAGGTGAAGAACGCTAAATTGGATCGATGTTTTATCCATCATGGTTTGAAAATGGGCATATTGGCGCCGATTTGATGGTTGAGTGAACAGTGAAAAGATCTCTGAATGCTCAAGTATTCTTCTTTGGCTCAGGTGTGCATCCGAACTAAGTATATAATTAACCATTTTGTCGAGTTTCTGCATTCATTTGCCATCAGATGTCACTGCTGTTGTTTGTGGTGACATCTATTGGTAACTACGCATAATTTGTTTTCCGGTAATTGTTCACAGAGGAGAGATTAGCATCCGAAGTCCCTCTTTTTTTAAATATTCTGCACAAAAAAATACTATCTAAGTCCCGCCCCTGAGAGGATTTCCCGTCGTTTTTTTTTATGAATGGGCGGTACAGAAAGTATCTTTTGTGCAGAATATGTAAAAAAGGAGGGACCTCGGATTCCAATCTAAATGCTCTATAGTGCCGAGATGAGGGAAAAGAAATTAACCACTTCATTCGAGCAGTTAAAATGACGTTTTCTACCACTCGAACTTTGAAATAAAACATTATTTTGAGATGTTTTCTTCTAGAGCTACGAGAAATATAGTCCCGTCAAAACTGCTTGACAAAGTGGTCAATTGCTTCATCGTGGACTGTTGAGCTGTTCAGTCCGTATTTTCGCTCAAGTTCTCGTTTCGAAGTGTCGCCACCTTCTCGCGTTCTGGTAAGTTTACTTGAACTTGCAAAAGCGAAACAAATAGTGCGTAAACGTGCCAATGCCCAGCACGTCGCAAGATGACGCCGGAAAACGGGTACTGCAAACCAGCGATGGTGACGCCCTCGCTTTTCACGCCGGTGAAGGATGTTGCCAAGCTGGGTGCTGAACTGGCAAAACACAAGCTGCTACTTCGATTCAAGCTTTGCAGAATTGGTACCAAAATCATGTGCTCCAGCCTGGATGAGTACAAACAAATAGGCTGTTTCCTGAAGGACAACAACGTGGACTTCTTCACGCATGATCTGCCATCGAGCAAGCCACTGAAGGTGGTTTTGCGTGGATTACCATCGGTGAAATCCGAGCTGGAGTGGCTTGGGCTCAAGCCTGAGGCAGTGTACCCGATGAACCGGTGTTCCAACCACAACACCAGCTTCCATGACCAGTTGTTCCTGGTGCACTTCACGAAGGGATCCACCAGTCTTGCGGCTCAGAGGTCCAAAATCCGGAACCTGTTTCAGGTCATCATCAGTTGGGAGCATTACAAACCCCAACATCGTGATGTAACGCAGTGTTTGAACTGCCTCTCCTATGGCCATGGCACCAATAACTGAATGAAGTCAAACTGCGGCAAGTGTGCTGGAACTCACTCAACTGCGTCCTGTGAGCAAGTCGATGACATCGAGCCAACGTGTGTCAACTGCGGTGGAAACCACCAAGCCTCCAATCGCGGATGTCCCAAGTGAGTGGAGTTCATGAATATCCGTCGGAAGGCTACAATCAACAACAAGCTCGGTCGCCTCCAGTACTCACGGAAGTCCAGTACCCAGCTCTCCAGTCCCGTCGACATGTTACGAACCTAGCCCCGCTGCCGCTCAATAACCAACAAGCCAATCCTGCGAGTATCCAAATGGTTCCCAATAGTCGAACAGTTCAGCATCTATCGCTGCTGCTGCGGCTTAGTCAGTTCCAGGTTCATCCACCGCCCCTGGTTTATCATACACTGGTGCAGTCTCATGTGATCCTGTCGACGATTCTCCGTTCACCTCAGAGGAACTTGTGACGCTCGTGGTCATCATCATCATGCGCACCTGCAAGACTCGATCTGAACAGCTACACGCTGCCCTGTCCCTTGTCACTAAGTATGGACCGTGAAGCCGTCAAGATCAAAAACATCGAGTTTGTTGACTTTCTCAACGAACGGCACATCGACATAGCCGTCATCACCGAGACTCACTTCAGCTCGGGCTTCACGTCTTCCTTCCTCGTAAGGCTTGATCGCACCAGCTCCGGGGGAGGGGGAGTGGCCATCGCTGCGAGACGGAACATCAGCTGCCGGTTACTGCCAAGCTTCCAGCTGAAAACTATCGAAGCCATCGGAGTTGAGGTGAGCACATCGGTTGGTCCAATCACCATCATCGCAAACCAACATTAGGGACGGCTCGGCCGCAGACCTCCGAAGAGACATCATCAAGCTAACACGACGGTGGCAAAATTTCATCATCGCTGGCGACCTGAACGCCAAGCATCAAGCCTGGGGCAATAGTCGACGAAACCAAAACGGCACAATCTTGTACAACGATCTGCAGGAAGCCCACTACAACATCCTGTGATAACATCTCTCAACCTATCGCCTATCAGGAACTGAGCTCGGACCAATATCCGGTGGTGGCCAAAGTAGGTTCCTCGGCCAATAGGTTTCAAGTTTCCTGGCAGCAGTACCAGCGCTGTGTGGACACAGCAATCGATTACGACGTCCTACCGGAGTCGTTTGAAGAAGTCGATCGGTGTCTGTAAACCATCGAAGAGGCGATATCCCGTGCCAGGGAGCAACACGTACCAGCATCCAGACAGGTGAGTCATACTCTGAACCTTGACAGCCCAACCAAAGATCTTATCAGGCTCCGTAACACCATTCGTAGGCAGTTCTAGCGTTCTGGGCTGCCCCACTTGAAGACCAATGTCAATATTATCCAGGCCAGGATGGTCGAACTCAGAAATAACGATTTTGCCAACAAGATTCGCTCTCTCCCAGATTGTGCAAAACCATTTTAGAAGATGAGCAAAATTTTGAAAAATAAGTCGAGACCGATTCCTCCGCTTTCCTCTGTTGACCAGAACTTGGATCCATCCCTACGCATAACCCCAGTTGAAAATGCGAATGCTCTTGGCCAACATTTTGTGATTTCACATAATCTTGGCCAAACCATGGTGAGCCCCCATAAGCCTGCCGTACCGGAGGCAATGTCTCTAGAGTCGCTGACACCCCCGTAGTAGTGCCTGATGATAGTAGAATATCGGATGATGAGGTGATAGCAGCTATTAGAAGCACTAAAAACATGAAGGCCGCGGGTAAGGATGGTGTGGTCAACCTCGAGTTGAAAAACTTGAGTATTGACTTCTTCGAGCACCTTGCAGCGGTCTTCAATAAGTGTTTGGAGCTTGGCTACTTCCCTGAATGCTGGAAGTTAGCCAAAGTGATTCCAATACACAAGCCTGGCAAAGATCCAAAGTGCCAAAAGCTATCGCCCCATCAGCCTCTTGTCCTCCATCTCGAAGCTATTCGAAAAATTGATACTCAGCCGTCTGCTGGTGTTTTCAAATGACAATAACATCTTTCTCAAAGAGCAATTCGGGTTTAGGAAAACCCACTCTACCATTCACCAACTCGCATCATCAAGCGGAACAAGTCCGTTTCCAATACATTTTTTTTTTTTTTTTTTTTTTTTTTTTTTTTTTTTTTTTTTTTTTTTTAACTCTTTATTTGTTCCAAATTCAAAATAAATTACATTTCATTTTAACCTAGGTGCTCCAGTTACTGCAGTAACGTACCAGCCTTAATTGTTATGATATATATCTAAGTGTTTTTACATTGTTCATGTCTTGGCAATTCAGTATTTTAAACAGGTTTTTTAACCTGCATGTCAGTATAACAATTGATATCTTAAAACTAAAAACTAAAACTAAATCTTATCTAAGTATAAAGGGAATTAATCGTTGCAATTGAGGATTGCAACGATTTTTGCCTGAAATTATCAATTATTTTGTTGGAAATTTGTTCTAAAGTCTCAACATTCGAAATTCTATGTACCAGGGAGGCAACTTCAAAATCATCTTCAGAACTTTGTTCTGAATCCTTTGAAGTGCTTTTTTCCTGGTAAGGCAACAACAAGACCATATTGGCACATCGTAAAGCATGGCCGGTCTAAAAACTTGTTTAAATATTAGAAGTTTATTCGTCAGGCAAAGTTTGGATTTCCTGTTAATAAGAGGATACAAACATTTTATATATTTGTTACATTTGGCTTGAATGCCCTCAATGTGATCTTTAAAAGTTAATTTTTGGTCAAGTATTAATCCAAGATATTTCACTTGGTTTGACCAGGAAATTGGAACTCCGTTCATAGTGACTATGTGACTACTACTAGGTTTCAAAAACGAAGCTCTAGGCTTATGTGGAAATATTATAAGTTGAGTTTTGGAAGCGTTGGGAGAAATCTTCCATTTTTGTAAATAAGAAGAGAAAATATCTAAACTTTTCTGAAGTCTGCTGCAAATAACACGAAGACTTCTTCCTTTAGCGGAAATGCCTGTGTCATCAGCGAACAAAGATTTGTGGCAACCCTGAGGCAAATCAGGGAGGTCCGAAGTGAAAATGTTATACAATATAGGCCCAAGAATGCTACCCTGAGGAACTCCTGCCCTAACAGGTAGTCGATTAGATTTGGAATTTTGATAATTTACTTGAAGAGTTCTGTCAGTTAAATAATTTTGAACTAATTTCATAATATAAAGTGGAAAATTAAACTTTTTCAATTTAGCAATCAAACCTTCATGCCAAACACTGTCGAATGCTTTTTCTATGTCTAGAAGAGCAACTCCAGTTGAGTGGCCTTCAGATTTGTTTGAACGAATTAAATTGTTAACTCTTAAGAGTTGATGAGTAGTTGAATGCCCATGGCGAAATCCAAACTGCTCATCTGCAAAAATTGAGTTCGTATTGATGTGAAGCATCATTCTATTC